GGGAGGTTAAGAGGAGGCAGTGGGTATCCCTGGGCTCTGCCTGACCGTGAGGCCATCCCTTCCTACCAGGCACACACGAGCAGCGTTTGCCACAGGATGGCTGCTGGAGGGTTAGGGTGCTGCTTTCTACATATCACTTGTGCCAAGAAGGTTGCTGCGTCTGTGCCAATTTGGACTTCCTTTCAGATTAGAAATTTCTTTGAAGAAATCACATTTGGGAAGTGACTTGGTTATAAATGGAGTAAGAAACCAAACATCAGCTGTGGGTCATGAAATGGTACTTCTTTATCACTGCACGGAAAGAATCTAGCATTTCTAGAATTTCCAGAATTAGACCTGGCAAGTGTCCTGAATTTGTGGATATAATTTTGAAATGTATGCCTGGATCAAACCCTTTCCAGGTGTAGCTCAGTTATCCTGACACAGTACCTGGTTGTCTGTAGAATTAAGCCCTGAAGGTCTTGACCACACATTCCTAAAACCAAACACCCCGAACCTCAGAACTTGAAATACATCTTTATTCCCTTTTGTGCTCAAAAAGGGAGAATGCTGAACTCTGTGCTCAGGCCTTCTGTAAATATTTACTGAGCACTTATTCTATTTGTAAGTACTTACCAAGCACTTATGACATCTACAAAGACTCACTGAGTACTTACTACATCTATAAGTACTTACTGAGCACTTACTACATTCAAGTCCTGGCTAAATCACTGTGGGAAACAAAGGTGGCCCTGTGGTTCTACAACTGAGGAGGACCTGAATTCAGTCAGCTACCTGGAAATCTGATTGCTTCTTAGTCATACAGTGTCCTATAAATACTGCTAGGAAGGACAGCACCATTCCTACCCAGTTAGCATCCACACAGATTAAGTAGTTTTTAAAAATCTACCCATGGTCTGCACAGGATTTGCCAGGACTGAGCCAGACTTGGCACAAGTGGGAGCGACAGCATGTGGTGTGGGTCCCTCCTTCTCCTCTAGATCTCCTTCCTTGTGGCCCTTCCCTTTCCTCTCTAAAGCCCAAGTCCGCTTCCCTCTGCAGGCCCCACCCCAGGGATCCTGCTACTTGGCCGATTTGGAGGGCAAAGCTCTTGCCAACCCCCTCACTATGCTCCTGTGCCCTACACTCTTGCTAAGCAAGGCCTGAGCTGGGTCACTTAAGCATCTAAAATTTAAGCCCCCTCCTGGGGCCAGAAAGGTGTCCTTTATTCAGCAGGATTTCGTCTTTGTCCTGCGCAGTGCACATTCACTGAGCAAGTAGAACACAAGTGATCACAGCCCATGCCCTCGAGGCAACGCACAGGCCAGTGGCCTGCTCCCAGGTGCCTGCCACCAGCAGGAGCTTTGACAATGGCTTGTCACCTCCACAAGGAGGGTAGCATTTAACCCACCTATTTTTTCCATTATGTGAAGTCATTTAAGAAGGCTTATTTCTTTTTAATAGCAAAATGAGACAACTGAATATTTATCCTTTTAAGCATCTTTTGAAAATCAAAATTACTCTTTAATCCCAATTGTGGTTATTAACCAATTATTTCTTTCACATCTCACTTAAATAATTTATTG